TAAGATGAAGTGTTCCTAACATGCGCATTTATGAATGACCTTCCCTCCCTCAATCAAGGTTACTCCACCATATTAGATAGAGAGAAGGGACTTGATATCAGTGATTTGATATCGTTTCTTAGTGTCGGGTCTCACCTGTTCTTAGCATACCAGGATAAGAGTCCTTAAATCTCCCAAACAAATGAATGCTGAGATTTTTTCCCCCTGTTAGTTCCTTCCAATAGTCCTACCAGGAGCTTTTTACCGGAGCTGCTAATGATTAACCAAAGGAATCGCCCAGATGGAAACTTCTTCAGGCCTCTCCAGAGCCAGGCTTGCCAAGAGTGGTGCAGGGGGGCAGCCAGAATGAGGAAGAGAAGGGGAGGCCAGGAGCTTGCAAAAACACATGTGTAATTGAAGGTCTTGGCGCCTGGACAGAGAGCACTGGGAGACACCGAAGCTCTTTCTCAACTCGTGTATTCACAGACTCAGGATGTCAAGCAGGATCCAAAGTCACAGCAGTGGACGATGCTCTGGGTTTTCTCAGTGGTGTTTTCTTCATAAGCCTGTTAGTGACTGGCTCCAGCCTTGCCTCAATCACTGCCTCTCTTTCAGCCAGCTTGACCTTCGGAGGGAGACCCACACCGTGGGTTTTGGAAGAAGATGAAAAGAAGTGGATGGATGGGCGCTGAGGGCAGTGGTGGTTCATGATGTTGGAGCATAAAGTGCTTGGTTGTTGATGCTCTGTGTGCAGTTCTTTACAGATGTTTGCAGTTAAAGAATGCTCGAATTAAGTATGAAGACAGAAGAGAAACAAGTAATCCATAACTTCTACCTCGAATACTAATGAGAAAGAATTTGCTTTGCTGTGTCCTGGTCTTGAATTGCTGAAGGCAAGGATGCATTGGGTCCCCTTCATTTATTACTCCCTTCCTCTGATGAAGTCCGGTCAGAGAGAATTGCTGGGTCCCTGGAAGGTCCCCTTGTCTTTGGCAGGATCATAACTTCCCCCTATGGTATTGTGAAAGAAAGGTCACCAACCCCCAAGTTTCAGAATATGAAGTCAAAATACATTGGTACATTGTGAATGGTCAGCTTACTCCAATGCATCACATATTAAGAGGTTGTCATGCCACCCACAAATCCCCAGGTCCTAGCACAGAACAGGAGGTGCTCAATGGTTTCTCATTGAGCAAATGAATGACAGACAGGCTGCTTTGGCAATGGTTACCCTTGACTTAGGTGATTTGTACCAACTTTGACTAGTTGGATAATATGGCTGCATGTATGGCATGTGTAAGCATCCTTCATCCAGTCTTAATGAATTGCCTGGCATAAATACCAAGGGTCAGAACAGGATTGTTTGGCCTGGTGTGCTTGAGCAGAACACGGAGGAAGGATATGATAGAGATTGGCAGATGAGAGAGAGAGAGAGAGAGAGAGAGAGAGAGAGAGAGAGAGAGAGAGAGAGAGATCGATTGTTTCCAAGTAGGCTCCCACTCCTAGTAAATGGCATGCTGTTATGACTCCATCAAAGGTTAACCCATTCATTAGGTCTGAATCTGGTTGTCATTAAAAATTGCATCAATGATACCCCACAGTTGTGCTTTATTCAGATTCTAGGTGTTTATCAAAACAATCAAGTTGACATTAAAATTAACCATTGCAAGGAGGGAGAGACATTTTCTTCAGAGGTGTAACCGCCATTAAGTGCTTGAGTTCCTACAAACAAGCCTGCACTCCGGCTCCACACGCAACTTTATTGGAACTCATTGGGTCATAAAGGGGTGGGGGGAAGTCATGTGAAGGGAAAGAGGGACCAGTTAGGAAGAGGAAAGGGGCCGGGTGGTGGTGGCACATGCCGTTAATCCCAGCACCCGGGAGGCAGAGGCGGGCAGATCTCTGTGAGTTCGAAGCCAGCCTAGGCTACAGAGTGAATTTCCAGGACAGGCTCCAAAGCTACACAGAGAAACCCTGTCTCGAAAAAGAAGAGGAAAGGGTTCAGCAGGAGTGGAAGGGGACAATAGAGGGTAGTAGGAGTGAATATGATCAAAATACACTCTATACGTATGAAAAAAATGAATAAAAGACAAGAAAGAATAATTGTTGTCGTGCACTCTTGGAATTTGTCTTCCAGGTGGAGACACCAAAGAAAGCAAACAGGATCACCAAAGAAGCGAGTAAGATTTTCGTTTCAGTTTTAATTTGTCAAGAAGTGCTGCGTGCCAGCTTTGCAGAGAAGTCAGTCAGACCGCCATTTGGTTGAGTGAGGACGTTGCCACCCTTCCTGTAGGGCTGTCTCGAGCAGTGAGATGTGCTTTCTTAGACTGTTGCAGAAGGAGACGTGCAATCCTAGAATATGCTGTGCCCATACTGAGGGCTCAGTTGATATTTTTATTAATACTGATGTCGGCATTTGAGCTGGCTCTTGAGTAGCTTTTCGATCATTTTGTGGTTTTCACCTACATATGTATATGATCATGTATGTGATGTGTATATATATATATATATATAAATTTGCATAAATACACACATTTTATTGCACCTATATGTTTATGTTACTCAGAGAAGTTGGTCTTTAAATCTTGGCTTAGCTCCCTCTTCCCTGACCTTTCCCCTTTACAGTCTTTCACTTCCATACACCCCCCAGGCATATAAGTCTAGTTGGTAACTTTAAACATGCCTCTGTCTATTCCCCCTTACTCATATAATCACAGTCGTACATGCATGTTACACAGATGGGAGAAAGTGGTTCCGGGTTATTTTATGAGCATCCAGTAGCATACATTCTGTGCCTCTTCTCATTATCACTCAAAAGTGCACACACGAGAAACACCCCAGCAGCAACTATCTATCTCAGACAAGCCTCGCTGGTCCCCGGAAGAGTGTCCACCGTGAGGGTGAGCTGTAACCTGCTCCCACATTCACCGTGAGCTGACATTGGCTTTTATCTCATCCCCCCTCCTTTTCTTGTTGAACGAATGTCTCACGTTAGTGTCCTTTACTACATGCCTTACACACACCATTGATTTGTGCAAGATACCAGTGAGAGAAATGGCAGGGCTGGATAGCAGATGTAATCTTTATATTTTTTTTCACGTATACTGATAAATGGCTTTCCAAAATAATCTTGGCAGTTAAATTTTTCTTAGTTATGCCTGAGCATCCTTTTCCCCCCCCATTTGTACACAATTGTAGGAAGCATGTGGAAGATGGGGTTCTTTTGGATGTGTGGTTTTGTATGTCTTCTCACACATGTGTGTATCTTCAATATGACGCCTGTACCTCCACATGGACCTGTGTGTATGTATGCAGATGTTTTCAAACACACATCATTCATTTTTTTATGTAGTTCCACTGATCTTTACTGGTTCCAGACCTGTTTGCCATTTGATTCTGCAGCCTGAAGAGCCAAAAGTTTGTTGTTAAGAAGAAAGCTATGTTCTAGTACAGATTTTAAGTTAGCCAGGGATCCCCAAACCTCCTTTCTAAGCATTTTGACCCTGTACAGATACCAGACCCGCTTTTCTCCAAACGAAGCATGGTATTTTCCAGTGGAGATATCTTCTTCTGCTCATCACGAATGGCCTTTAGATAAATTTGTTTGCGTTGTTACACTCTAAAGATTCCACACGTCTCCACACGGAGCCTGACCACACACTCTTACTATTTTAAGTAACTAGAGAAGGCAGCAGCAAGCCTCATGTTTATCGGAGTCGATAAGAAAAAGCAAACACACCCTCACCCCTAATTTCCTTTGCTTAGCTATTCTGTGTGTGGTATCTTGGTAACACAGACCCAGCTGCACATGCATCAACACTAAAATTTGAATATCACTCATAGGGATTATACCATTCCATCCATGCATCCCACAAAAGCAAAGACGTATTCGGGGCATTTCCTATTCACCCTGACTTTATTTTTTATTTTTTAAACTTAAATGCTATTTATAGTCATGGTTGGGGTTGCAGGATGGAACCATTTAATAGTTTAATGTGAAATGTAATGTTCAGCAGTGATCCCTTCCTCATCCTGGGACAACATGTCTCCTGCTTGTCCGTGACTAAAGGGCATTGCTGGTTTATGGGTTTTCCCTCCTGCGACCTTTTCAGAGTCTAAGGGAGAGTTGTCTCTCCAGCTCCCCTCGCTGCTCCACAAATCTGGACCTGAGTCAGGGCCACAAAGTTTTAAAAAACTGAATTCCATGTGCAGACTTTCTAGCAGGAGACCAGTGTCTAGTTCCCAGGACCAGCGCGTTTCTTGGCGATGGCGGGGGGAGGGAGCAGAGGCTCTTTGTGTTGCAAGTTTACTGTATGAAGTGCACCCCCTTTCTCTTTCTCTTTTGGACTTAAGAAAATGTGTTTGCTTCTCCTCTTCATCGTCGGAACATCTCAGAATGGCAGAGGGTGTTTGTTCCGGCAGCCTACATTCGAAACCTCTACTTGGAGTTTCTTGCTAAATGCTCTCTCCCCACCCACCCCGAAACTACCAGTTGACTTGAGGGAAGGCAAGATTCTGTAAATGCCTGGACTCTAATTCATGTTTGACTTCTGTGTTCCCGTGAACTTTGCTTAAACAGCCTTGCCAGGAGGACTTTCCAGGGGTGGGGCTTTGTGCCTGAGTCTTGAGACGACTCATTTATGCCCTACATGTTTTGAGGGAGGAGGTGATGGCAGACAGGGACTTTTTTTTTTGCTTCAAGAAGGGAGTGTGTCTGAGTGCCCCCCCCCTTTTTTTTTCCTACACACACAGCTGGTAGTTCCCTGCTGACTGCTGTTTGTTTTAAAGTCACGTGGTAAAAGGGAGTTCCTGCCAATGTTTACTCATTACCCATTCAAATATGACACCCTGACACCCATTCACGGTTGCTAACCGCGTCTCCTGCCAGAAACGGAGAGTATATTTCCAGAATGAAAGTCGCTTTCTTTGCATGCGCAGAAGGCTTACTATTCACCAAGCATACTTTGAAATGGCTCCTTTAAAAATAGTAAGGTTATTTAATTATTTAAGATGGCCGCTGGTCTGGTCCTATATACAATATAGCTAATCAGTACAAGGGACAAGGAAGGGAAACTCAGGACGGGTTATACATTGTAACAGTGACGTAATTAAAAGCGTTGTTTCCTCCGTGGGTCTCTTCCTGTGAAGGGGCAACTCACCTGGCCTTATTTTATGTGGACAAAGCCACACAAGGGGCTTTGAATGATGAGCTGAAAGAGAAAGCCACCTTCTCTCAGAGGGCATAGGAGCAGGGAGGTGACCTGACTGGCAATGCTCCAGATGCAGCCAGAGGACCACTGGGGGATTCTGAAGTAAATTTCACAAGGTGGGGTGCGGCCACCACTCATGTGCTACCTTATTTTGTTTTAAGAGCTTACTACTTTTTTAAGGCTAGCTAGCATACAAAGCAGTGGGTTTCCATTTCTTACGTCGAGGTCATTAGACTTAGTTCCCAACCATTCTCCCTCCCTGCCAGAGTTGAAGCTTCCTTATTGTGAGCCTTGAGAGCTGAAGACCATTTGTTACCATAGTAAAATGATGCTCATCTTGATTGATACGGGTTGTACACTGAAGAGACAAAAAAGCCAGCCTCGGTCAATAGTGACATGAACTTGGTCATTTCCTTTTGTCCCCTCTCCCTCCCCCCTCCCTCCCTCCCTCCCTCTCCCCCTCCTCCTTTTGTCTTTCCTTTGAGATAGGGTCTTACATATAGCCATGTAGTACCTGACTGGCTTTGTCCTCACTGTCAGCTGCAGCTGACCTCCAATTTGCAGCCATCCCGCTGAGTGCTGGGATTGCTGTATGTACCAACATGTCCAGCTTCCTGCAGTTCTAAAGCCCCGATGAACTTCACGACATAAATTTGTTTCCTCCGATGGGGAAATGAGTATAATATAATAACTACTATGGTTTAAATAGGAAGTGTTCCCCAAAGGCCTGTGTGTTTAGAGACATGGTTCCCAGCTGGTGGCCCTGCGCTGGAAGGGTTCAGAACCATTAGGAGGTGAGGGCTTGCTAGAGGAAATGAGTGACTGGGAACAGGCCTTGAAGTTTGGTAGCTGGGGTCCATTGCTTGTTCAGAGCTCCTAGCTATAGATGTGATGTGATAAGCAGCCTCATATTTCTCCTGCCTTCATGATTATCTGACCAAGATAGAGTCTGTCTATCCCTTCTTAAATGTAAGGAAAAACGAACCCTTCCTCTTAAGTGGCTTCTTTTGGGGCATATTTGATCCCAAGGATGGATAAAGTAATCCAATGGATAAATTAAGAGAAACATCACCTAAGTCACACTAGAAAGGACCATGCCCCTGTCTACCAGCAAGGCACTATGGAAGTTGGGGTTTCTTCTGTTGGTTCAGGCAGAGAACGTAAGTTCTTTTCTACTTTCTAACGAATGTTGTCAGGTGTGTGGTTGTCAAGTTCCATAAGCAGCCAAGCGGAGCTGACTGCATGCACTGCTTGAGAAAGGCACTTTCGACTGTGGAGCCATCCCCAGAGGAGGATGGTTTCTCTCTGGAAAAGCTGGCATCACCGCTAGGCTGGAGTGCACATCGCTGTAGGGAGCAGATGCTCTCGTTCCTTAGCACTGTGTTTCTAGGACCTGAGACACGGGTGGCAGAAGGCAGGTGTGTAAGAAAGTGTACTCCTTAAGTGAGCAACAGCAGGTCCTTCTGGGATGGATTTTACCTTTAAATGAGAGACATTATGCTTGCACTTTCAGAGAGTCTTTGACAGTACATACCAAAGATATGGCGAAAGGGACAGCTGAGAGCTCACATCTTGATCAGTCAGCCGGGGACAGAGAGCATGCTGGGAAAGGCTCCAGTATTTTGAAAACTCAAAGCCACGTCCATTCAAAACACCACATTCCATGCCCTGGCCTCCATAGGCTCATGGGTGTCTCATAGTGCAAAATGCATTTCATCCAACTTCAAAAGTCCCAATAGTCTTTCAGTTTCAACACTGTTTGAAAGCCCAAAGTTCAACAGCTCTCTGAAACTTGAAGCATTAATTGTAACCCCTTATAAAATAAAGAAGCAGATTCCATACTTGTAGCACACAGTGGTGCAGAATATGCATCATTATTCCTAGAGGTTGGAGTCAGGGCGTAGTGAGGAAATAGTGGACCAAGGCCAGGCTGAAGCACAGCAGGGCAACCTTGTAATCTTGTACCTCAGCTTCAGCTCTGACGTCAGAGGACTTAGATGGCTCGCCCCATCCTTCTGGCTTTGCTGACCGCAGCACACTTCGTTCTCTTGGTTCAACTCCTATGGTGATATTTTATTTGTATTGAAATGTGATTTTAATTGTATGTTAATAAATAAAGTTGCCTTGGGGTCAGAGCTATTAGAGTCATAGCAAGAGCGTGGTGGTTAGAAGAGCTAGGTAGATTTCTGTGTGTTCAGGGATACAGCCAGTATTGGAGACACATGCCTTTAAGACCTGGAGGGCGGTACTTACAGGCAGTGACGAGGCAGTCATGTGTTTGGGTTTACAAGCAATGAGAAGGCAGAACAGAACAGAAAGACTATTTAAAGACAGACACACAGGAAGTAGCTCTCTCTCGGGGGAAGCTAGGAACACTGCAGGAGGTAAGATTTTAGCTCTGAGCTCTGACCTCTCGGCCTTCTTTTTTACATTGGCTCTGTGTTTCTTATTTTAATAAGATGACTGGTTACATCTACAAACTCCTTGTTTGCAGCTTTTCCTTGGCAGATATCACGTGGCTCTAGCATCTCCAATGTCTTAGGATCACCCTCATAATCAAAACTTCACTTTTGTGCCTTCACGCAATGATGACCTCTGAAAGCATCCTGGCCACATGCATGGTCTCAGACGATCTTCTTAACTGCAGAGGAAGGTTCCACCTCCCCTTCACTCGGGTCTCCTTCGTGACTCTAAAGGCAGACTCAGCCACCAATTTGGGTGAGTGCCAGGATGGATTTCAAAGAAACATCAAGGAGCTGGAAGGGCATGCAAATAATGAATTTTAGAAAGTGGCGTCGTTCAAAGCACATAGGAGACAGAAGGCACATGATGTAGCTGGAGAGAAGATGTGTTTCCATGAGTGAGTTGGGATTAGCATGAGATGGGACCTCTGAACCTGACAAGAAAATCAGTCGGTTCTAGTGCCGCAGAGTTCAAAGAAAAGCTAATCTGATAACCAGGCCTTGAAGAGATCAGAAAGCATCTGCAGTATAAGCCAATTATGGCGTCGATTCATCTGGTTGTTGTAAGGACTGAATGAGCTCGTTCGTCTCTGTTAAAGGCTTGACACAGAGTAGGTACTTCATTCCTTGGCCATTTCCAAAATGAAATTGTTACTTATCACTTGGTGACACTGTGATGTGGGATGATGGCAGAGGCCACTGGGGGAGGCACTGGCCATAGACCAGGAGGACAGCAGATACCGACATTTGTGATCCGGTAGGTGGACAACAGTGGTTGGGCCGTTCAGAAGACCCTGACATGAGGTGTCTTTGTGTCCTCTATTGCTCCTCGAGGCACTGAAATAAACTTGGGGGCCTTATCACTTTGTGATGAGTGTGGTCTGTGTAACAAGCACAACACTGACAGCTAGATTCCTAAGGTGGTCACAGAGCCTCCTCACGCCCTGAAGGTAGCCTGTCTGTCTACTGTCCCCAGATGCTGCCCTGGGAATAAGAAGGTAGTAGGGATAGGTATGTCTTGGTTTTTATCCAGATGTGACTAAGTCACCTCACACAGCTGCTGGGAGAGCAGCCGGGGCTTACAGGACTTTTTCCTCCTGCGTCCAGCAAGTCGTATAAGGAGAAGAGGAGAGGTTGTGGATACAGCTTCAGAACAAATGCTCTCTGCGTCGCCGAGTACTGCTTTAGAGATTTTACAATTCCAAGGCGCCAGGACTTAACTTCAGCACAAGGTAGAAGGTGACAGAGTCCAGACGTCCTGTGGGAAATTCTAGGGAATTAGTGAATTCAGTGGTGGCAATGTGGAGGAGGTGAGATACCAGATTTCTCCTCCTCCTCCTCCTCCTCCTCCTCCTTCTTCTTCTTCTTCTTCTTCTTCTTCTAATCCAACTAAAAATGTAAAACAAAAAGAGTAATGGAATCATCAAATGGGCATCCAAGCTGTCTTTAAATTCAATATGTAGTGATTTCTTGACGTACATACTTATATTTGCTTTCCTTCTCACTCGCATGCATATGTGGTCATATATATTTTTTATGAGTGTCATAATATATAATTTGGAGCCATATAGTAAGTTGGAGACACTGTAACATTTTGTTTTAAAATAAAACTATCCTGTAATTTCATCACTTAATACTTCACAGCACTCTTTTGAACAGGGACTCTCTCTTACACAGCCTCATCATCATTATGAAAACTGAAAACAATCACCTTGATTGGAATTGGGAGGAAAGGTAGGCTTTGGATTTTTGATGACCTGCATAAGTGCCTCTTAGGCTGAGGACCCAGGGTGGGTCAAAGAACAGCCGCAGTGGCCAGCTTTATTCCCTGCATTGGACGGGAAGTTGTTCCAAGACCAGAGCACTGGAGTGATTTGCTGAAGGCCACATGGGTAGTTTGGAAAGGGCTGGGACCAGAAACCACATTTCCTGATTCCGTACCTTTGCTCCCTGCAGCCTCCCTCTTCCTGACACTACACTGAATTTAGAATACGACACTGGAGGTTTTACTCGGGAGCACCTTGAACTCCACCTGAGTGTGGAGGGTGGGTGGCACAGTACCTTTTCCCAAAGGGTTATGAGTCTGTGAGATCAGGTGATGAGGCATAACAGTCAGGATGACGAACTGCACACAAAAGGCTGTGGAAAAACCCAGGGCTGACGTTCCAGGTCCCGGGCAGGGGCAGTTCTCTAACATGAGCTGGCTGCCACTTTCTTACTGTGGCCCTGGTACCAGGGCTGCCCACTTCCTGTGTTGTGTTTCTTGAGGCGAGAGAGGAAGAGACAGAGGTGGGTGTGAGGCTGTCTGTGAAGCAGGATCATTGTAGGCTGGCCTGGTGGTGGCTGTCACTGTGACTTTAGGTTGCAGTTTGTAGCCTCTGGTGGCTTTGCTCCCCAGGGACTCTCGGACCTACTGGAGACTCTTAGTTGTCACAGGAGTGGGCTGCTGGTGATATCCTGATTGACATAGGGCAGTTACTCCCCCTAAAGATTACTCAGTCACCATGACAGGATGTGAATAGTGCTGGGGTCAGGATACTCTTGCTTTGTTGTTGTTTTTCAAATCATTCATATTTTTCTGGTTTTCATATTATATTTTTTTTTGTTATTTTAAAAGCTTAAAAGTTTTATTGTTTTTTTGTGTGTTCATTTGTGTATGATATGATGTGGTTGTGTGTGTATGTGTGTGTGCATATGTGTGTATGTGTGTGTATATGTGTATGTGTATATGTGTGTGTATGTGTGTGTGTATATGTGTGTATGTGTGTATATGTGTGTATGTGTGTGTATATGTGTATGTGTATATGTGTGTGTATGTGTGTGTGTATGTGTGTATGTGTGTATATGTGTGTATGTATGTGTATATATGTGTATATGTATATGTATATGTGTGTGTGTGTGTGTGTGTGTGTGTGTGTCTGTGTGTCTGGAAATGTGTTCGTGCGAAGATTAGAGGACAACTTTCAGGAGTCAGTTCTCCTTTCTACCTCTACGAGGCATGGCCTCTCTTTTCTCTACTAAACTTCGCACCCCAGGCGAGCTGGCTCTCAAGCTTCCAGGCCATTCTCCTGTCTCTGCCTCGTGAGCACTAGGATGACAGATGCCTACCGCCTCATCTGGTTTTTCACATGGGGTCCAGGGTTCGAGCTCATGTGTTAGGGCTTGTGAGCTAGGTACTTGGATCCAATAAGCCACGTCATTATCCTCCCCACCACCTCCAATCCCATTTTTTCTTTTTCTTTTCCTTTCTTTCTTTCTTTCTTTCTTTCTTTCTTTCTTTCTTTCTTTCTTTCTTTCTTTCTTTCTTTCTTTCTTTTTTTTTCCCATTTAAGACAGGATCTCA